ACAAACCCACAACAGAGGTCACTGGGCCAAGTGAAGCACTGCCCAGTGAAATCTTCATATGAAATTGGATTATTGTAGATGAGTAAAAATAAAACCTCTCTCAATGTGATTAATGTGTCAATTAATGGAATAATAAGGACCAGCTAACACACTGAAATTACAGTTTCAGTACTCTCTGTTATAACTTAAGAATTGCTACCTCTTTTACACCATTGTCACTAAGTCCTTGCAAAATTTTAGCATCTTTTTGAAGTCAGGTGGAAATGGAGTGAATCRAAAATGTGAGGCCAGATCTGGCTTCAAATTAGTCCCCACCCCCACTTCCCCACCACCCGGTTTCAGGATGCTTGCCAAGATGAGAACTGATTATTCCCMAGTCAAGTTTTACCCTGTGCAAACTCTGAGACCTGGAGCAAACATGAAAAAATACAGTTTTGCCAGACATTTCCCTATTTAACTTKAAAGTTTCATTAGTAACTGTAGATTCAAAATGCAAGGCAGTATTTTTATGCAGCCTTTAAAATGTCACCCTTTTGTGCTTCAGTAATTCTGCAGGCTTATCAGGGCTTATTTACCAGCTTTATTACAGTTTTAGAAAGTGCCTAGAAATGCCCTTCATGCTCTTCCTCAATAGAGAGGTGCCACAAGTGGCCTTTGTCCTGTAAAGGAAACAGGGAGGAAAGCACAGCATCAGATCCCTGCCCTTTGGCATATTCCCGTAAGAATAGTCATCAAAAATAAGAAAAAAGAAAACRGGGGTGGCTAATTACAATTTTGAGGGTATTAAAGACTCTTTTGGTCTAAGGAAGCCTTTCAAAAGCAAAGCACAAGGAAGAAAAGGGTTGGTTTTTTTTTCTCCCCTCTCTTTGTTCCCAAGAGCAATATGAGAAGGGTTTCAGATCAGAATCCAGGCTAGAAAAGTCCCAAGTTGCAGAGCCTCACTGACATGAAAGTGTTTCTGTGCAGAGAACGATTTGCCCCTCTGCAAGCAGGATTAAGGTCCAAACTGTTTTTGAACATTTACCTGGAAATTATCTCTAATCACAACTGCACCAGCTTAGCATTAAAATAAGCTTCTGGGTCTATATTACAGTAATGAACAATGTGCTCCAATYTGGGAGTTATTTATATGTGCCCTTAGCATCATCTGCCCATGCAGTGCAGGACAATTAGCTGCTTGTGTTCAGAAGAGCCTCGTTAGACCAGAACTGTGGAGACAAAGCAGAAGTTCATTAGCTCTGGGCTTTCCTTCGTCTCATGTTCAGTCCATCAAGCAAGGTAAAGCCTACGTTAACCATTGCTAGTGATTTTCAGGCCATATTTTTCCAACACAACCAGACCTTTTGCTGCTCATTTCAATACAAAGCAAGTTCTTTGTGGCTGTCAGCTTGTAGCTCTGATGTTGTGAACCCTCAGGCTCTTTGAAAAACTACTCCAAGCTTCTTATTAAATTGAGCTAYAAACAAAACAGAGTTTAACCAGCCCCATCACAGGAGCATGGACCTGTCTGTACTGGCTGCAGCTCTGCTGTGGATGCTGAGGGCTGACTGGACCCCTGAATTCAGCACTGGCTGCACATGTGCCAAGCTGGCCTGCATATGGATTCCATTAAGAGCAACTTTTTACATGGAGGTTGTATAACTGTCTTCTCCCTTGGAAGTTCACCAGACTTTAGAGTTTTTTGCATACTATGATCACAGTGCTAGAAAAAGGCAAAAATCCCTACAGTTAGTAAACATACCCAAACTGTCCCAGGAAACCTTAACAAGAGCACTCTGTTCCAGAGATTTTGGCACTTGACCCTAACATTAGGGGTCCTTTATGTTATAAACTTTTCTGTTCCTAACTAGTTAAGAAACTAAGCGCCTTGGATAAATTCCCACCTGATACTCATGTAAAAAACTGTGCAGTGCTTCCTATAGCCATCCCTCAGTTACATAAGGAGACACTCAAAGCCGTTAGGAGCACAAGCAACAGAGCAGCAGCTACAGGGTGGTATTCAGTCAAAAATGGAAATAAGTGCAAAAAACAGCCAGTATTTTTGAGCAAGTCGAACCAGAGATGTGCTGCAATTGTGGTTCCAGTTAGTGAGGAATGTCTGGAGCAGATTAAGTGTCCAGCTGTCTGCAATACCAACGGTGCAAGGCAATGGAGATGAACTTCCAGAAGCATCCAAATGACATGTGTTTTCAGAAATTTTCCCAGAAACTTTTGCGAGTGTAAGAATAATTTGAACTACAAGAGATTTTTTAAACAAAGCGTTGCTCTAATATTTTTGTTAGCCTTTTAATAAATAAAGCAAWATAAATTTAGACTACTCCCTTAGTAGCTGTTCTCACCAGAGCCTACACTGAACACTGTTAAGGCTGATACTWCATCCTCATGTTTCCTGACTCTGCTGACACTTTCAAAACCTTATGTTCCCCTGACTCTTATAAATTCCTGTGTGTCTCTTCCCCTTCTCCTGTGTGATTATTCCCCTCAGTGTCCTCGAGTCCTTCCAAATCCTTCCCCCAATTTTCTGGATGCAGAAACCCCAAATGCTTCTATTTGTTCTCTTTTGTCACATTTTCTATGACTCATCTTATTTGCAAACAAAATTATCCTTTAACACTTAGAGGTTTAACAGACCTACCTTTTTATCCCTGTTACCTCTCCAGAGGAGAGCCTTGGCTGAGACTTACTCATAGGTAATTTAACATTGTGTTAAATTCAGCATGGCTAACCCAGAACTCAGCCTTCCTACTTTTTCCTGATAAAAACAGCATTACCTTTCCATATATATCCACATTGCTATTTCATTTAAGATCCCCATGGCCTATTATTTTGGCTCATGTCATGGTTCTTCCTGGCAGCTCCCTGTCCTTTTTGTGTTGGCACACAAGCAATGTCAGCTTCAGCAAWAAGGGCAGAAACAGCAAGATGCAGAACCAAACTAATAGCTGTAGAACACCAGCCCTCATGTTTCTTCTGCTGGCTTGGGATTGATGTAGAGGCCCAGTGAACCATGGCACCTTGACAGTTCTCAGGCCTGACTTGTTTTAAGACAAAAAAACACGCTTGCCTTCATTTCCAGATCCAGCCTTGCTTGGCATATCATCCTTTCTAAGTTGTATCCTTTATAAGTGTGTAAAGGACAGTCCCTTGACTTCAAGCCTGACAAACCCAGGGAAATAACTTTGTTATTAGAATCAGCAATATAGTGAAAAAGTCAGTAGAAAATATCCATTCTCTAATTTGATCCTGGCCCTTCATATTTCTCAGAAAACAGGGTTAGGAGCAACCTGAGTAGTGGTCTATCCTCTGGTCCAAGACAAGATCAGCAGATTTATTTTCTATTGCAAACATTTTTTTTCCAACCAACTTAGAAAACTCTCTTTGATAGGAATCTCCAAAACATAGCGCATTTTATTCCAGACCTGTATGAGGCAGATTCACTCCACTTGGAGAAAGTTTTCCTAGACACACTTAAATCCTCCTTGCTGCTGCTTTACAGCACTGCTTACCCTGTGCTGGACACAGCTCCACAACAGTTCTCTATATTTGGGATTTACTATTTTACCTTGGCATCCTCTCTGGATTGAGGAATCCCAAGTCCTCCAGTCTTTGTGGATCACAAGTTCACATTTTTTGTCTCCTTTCCTACATGACTACATTTTATTTTCTGTGTATTATCTAGAAAAAGTACAGGGGTTGGTTCTTGGAATTTTAGGATTAATCACTGTTTGATTCCTCTTTTGGTTTCTGAGTAGGCTCTGGGCAGGCCCTGATGGCAGCTTTCAGAAGCCATAAGAAATTTCAGTACAGAAATTTTGGGGAAGTTTGGGCATCCTTGCATTATTTTCAGCCTGCAGTAAGCATACTGTGACTACCCCAGACCACTGATCATATAGACCAAAAGCTGGCCTTTATTTTTAATCCTCTTGGAATTATCTTTGACAGAACCTTGCAGTATCTCAGAGGGGTGACTGTTCTGAGGAGCTGGTTTCATGGAAAACTGCCCAACTATGAGACAAGGCTACCCTATGTGACCAGTGCTCWTTGAGCTCAGTAACAGCATATTCCTTTTATCCAGAAAAAATATCTACCTGCTACAGCTAGGAAAGTTAATCACACATCTTACCAGCACATGTTCCAAAAACAAAAGAATGTACCACCTTGAAGTCACTCTCTCTCTCTTTTCCTCAAAAATTTAATCTCTGCAACATTCCCAGTTTTCTGTTACTGATTTAAACTCATCCTGAACAACCTCTCACTATCAAGATAACATTCTTGTCTTAAAACCTCCCATTTTCCTTAAGTTGCTTAGCTTGTTTGTCTTATCCAAGCTACCGCTGGAGCCTGTAGGGTCCCAGCTACTCAGCTCAGACTACTTGGAAGTAGAAGTAACAAACTGCATCTATGAGCAGATTTAAACTAATTTGGACACATTTATTCTTAGTTTGCCCATTGTCATCCAAACTCTGCATATTTTAACATAAGGCAGAGTGTTTTTTAAGTATAGCTACAGTATCTACAGCATCTAAAACACCCCTAACTTTTCCCTAGACAAATAGGGGAAAATATAAGAGCTGTTTGGAGTTATAGAACACTRTCTTTTGTATCCTTTATATGTTACTTGCAGTTAGCAAACTGAATTATAAAGGATTAAATGAATTATTCACATTAGAGGCTCTTTTAAAAAAGCTTTGAAGATTGAGAGCTAGAATAACAYACAGAACAAGAGATTTCTTTATACCCATGGCCCTATTTTAGCTATACCTTAAAACAGACTCTTAGATCCCTGTGTATTACAAAGAGCAATTTCAGTGACACTGAACATTCATGTTGGAGTTTACATTGCACATTAATAGAGAGATCCAAATTGAGCAGTATAGACTCAGAATAACTCAAGCATTCCTCAATGGTACTAGAAGCTACTGGAGCTGAAAGCTGCACATCAGATACCAGGTATTTGCTGAGCAGCTACTTCCCCTCAGAAGGTATCAGCAGGTACATACCTTGGCTTGTTAGAACAGTCACTGCTACATAGGGAAGAGCCTGAAGGAGATTCCCAGCTTAGAGAAAGACCAGGGCTAAAAGCCTGGGGTTAAATACAGTTGCTGGGCCAATGGGTGGACATTGCACAGGTGGAGGTATCACATGAAGCTGATCAGGGCAATTAGGGCCTCTTGGTGCTGTCAGGCACATTCCAGCAGGTGGGAAAAAGGGGGGAAAAAAAAGCCCAAATAAGATTTTTCTTCCACTTACGTGGAAGTCGTATGTTTAACAGTGTTATTTGGACTCTTCCAAGGACACACAGTTATGAAATGCCTTGGAACAAGAAACTCAGCTTGGAACAAGAAAACAAAACTGTCTTTTTTTTTTTTTTTTTTCCCTCCCATCTTGCTACGCCTTTTTTTGCTACCTAAATTTCTGCAGGTGGCTTTTTCTCATCCTCATTTCTTTTTTCCAACATTCATGCATCGTTACCAGTCTGTTTTCAACTCAGCTCTGCACATCCTTTACTTGGACATTGCTATTTTAAATACTGATGTCAAAGAGAGGATGGACTGTTATTTAGCAATTAATTGAAAGGATATTTTAGCTTTCAGTACAGTAAATATTTATTGGACAGTAAATAAAATTCCTTAGTAAGGAGACCTTTGCAAAGAGGAGGATGAGAAAGATAGAGGAGCCAGTCTGAGCTGTGACAAGCACCATCAGTTAAAGCTGTATAAATGTTTTCCTGCTGTGGGAAAACAGCTCCTTCGCCTCATGGATTTCATCAGCGACAAAATGTTTCTGTGCCTCTTTTGAGGGAACTTCTGTCTCTTTCAGAATGGATGTRAAAATTCTTCTGTATCAAAAGCCCCTGATTTCACACTGGTCACTGGAAGATAAAATTACTTCTCCATATAGAATTGTGCTCGCATTTATATAACATTATACCATATGTCCTCAAAAATAATCTAAGTTAACACTGATTGCTCCATGTCAGTTGCCTTCAGAGCAGACACAGGATATTGTGGACCCATTGCTAAAGAAGAAGMCAGCTCAGATTGAGTAAAGTTCATATGTATTGAAAAAGATCTTTCAGTCAAGAAGGTTTTGCTTTTTTTTTTTCAATTTTATTATTAAAGACAAATAACACGGCAAGACAAATAACACAACACTGTGGATATCAATTCCCAAGTTGGGAGAGGATAACTTTTGCAYTGAGCTGAAGTAGAAAACATTTCTTAAAACGGATTTACAGTCCATTTAAAGGTCAGAAAAGCCAAGGGCAGTTTAAAAGGGCAGAAAAGTCCCTGAAGATACAGAAGTGCATCCAGGAAGTTTGAGTCTGAGGCTGAATGCAGGGGAGGAAGTTTGGCTTTGGAAGCCAGGCTGTGCAAGGTCCTGTCTGCAACGTGGCACCAGGTGGTATCTCTGCAAAGATGAACGCTGCTGCTCCCACTCATTTGCCACCCAATTTTGCACTCATTTGCCACCCAATTTTGCACTCTTGCATGAGGATCCAGTTTTCAGTATCCTTGTCATGCGCTCTCTGCAACTGCCTTGCCTAGAGGATGCATTAGTGGAAACTCAGGGGAACTTTGTGTGTGTTTTATTACAGGAAGCTACAGGGCTAAAGGGAGTCTCCTTTTGTGCAAGGAGAGGTAAAATGTCCTGAAATGCCCGTCAAGCTAATCTGCTTTTCTGCTAAGAGTGTGATGTGGCGAGGCAGTAAACRCCAAACCTGCTACTTAAAGCACATGTGCATGAGCTGCTGTGATGCTGTACATCTTTTTCCTGTCCCCAGAATAATCTGGATTTACATTTTGATGTCTGTGAATCAGAGCTACCAGTGTCAAATTTCTCTTTTCTTTTTCTTTTTTTTTGACCAGGAATAGTAGAGATTATACTTGGCAAAGCACTGGTAGGAAAGCAGAAAGGACTGAACATAGATCCATGCAAAAATAAAGCGATGCTGTGTTATAGTGCCATAGGATGAACATAGGATGAACTGGCCTTTATGCACAYTGTCATAGGCAAATTTTTCCAATAGATTCAGAGCTATTTGGAAGGCAGTTCATTCCGGTTTGGTTGAATTGAATACTAAAAAAATGTCCCCAAACTCACCTCCAGCCCGCTCTGATGTTTTTATTCCTTTAATAATTCCTTTACTTTGCTCAAGGGACAACACTCAGCACTCACTTCCATGCTGTTACACAACCCATTTGTTTTGTGCTAAGCAATTTTCAAGGATTCTTGCTCAAGAAGATGCATACTGTCCTTTCATTCTTACACAACATTTCTCCCATTTGGGGGAAAAAAAAACCTTATAAATATGTATATATTTTGCCAAAACAAAAAGCTCAAGAAGATTTACAAAATTAGAGCTTCGTTTAATATACTGAGGTATGAACCAGACCACTGAAATTAATGGAAACACATGTCCTGATTTGAATGGCCCTTCAAATAGGACCTGAGACCCCACTTAGATCCTGGCCACCCCAGATATGCATATATATAATTACATGCATTTTCATTATCATTATCATTAGTGCTTATGAACTAACGCCACAGGGATGTATCCATACAGCAAGCAGTGAGAGAAGGAAAAATACTGTCACATCTGCCAACCGTGCTTATTTCTGATGTAGAAAAGATGCATTTCAGAATATCAGTGTGGTCTTATTGACAGGATTAGTCCTTGATCCCTGCAGACAAACTCATATGAGAGCTTCTGRGACTTGTTTTTGCAGCTGTCAGGACCCTGGGGTCATTAATGGGCCTTAATGGGCCTAACCAGCCTCACCTGGTGTCTCTACCACACACCCCTCTGCCCATAGGCCCAGGAGCCTCATTTAAGTTCAGCCCTGGAGCAGTGCTGGTTTCCATAGCAATGTCTGGCTGGTGTCCTAGTTGTTTGTTGCTTTTGAGTTGCTTTTTTGACTTTACTTTGGTTTTGCCAGGTGACTTTGGATCACCTGGGCAGTTCTTGGATTTATCCTGTCTCTGTTGATCTTTTGGCTTGGTAAATTTTGGCTTGGTAAGTTGTCTGACCTTAGCTGAGAAAGRGAAAAGATAATGTGCGGGGGGACTTCTACTGGATTTATGGCACCAGCATGAMTTGTACAATGCTTAGTATTAATTTTGTGGTTTATGTAGGGTTTCTTCTACAAGTTGATAGTTTTTTTCTAACTTACCTAGTGAATGGCATCCTAAGATCACATGCAAACCAGCTAATCAAACAACTAGAAGAATTCAAGGACTTCCATTCTCCTATGATGTTTCTATGCAGCTTATTCTATCTGACTCTCTGGGAATAGTCTGTGGTAATCCCTGGCTTCCCGGAATCCATCAGACCAAGTTTCAAGACTGTTTCCAACGCATAGCTTTCCTCTGGTTTCCCTGAAAGATGTTGTCAAGAATTACTCACTAGTCTTTTTAATTATGTCTTTGACTTTAAGCAATGGAATGCTAAACATGAGGTAAAAAATAAAGCAAAAACACTTCTATGGTGTGCTGGGGAAGATGCATGTTAAGGAACTACTTGTTTTTGCTTGARCTTTCTAGCTAAGTGTCTTCCCTAGTATTTTACTTTATTTTTATTTGGGTTGTTTAATGGGTAGACTGCTATTTGGTTCTTACAGCTGTCCATGGCCTTTGTGAAAGGGCCTTGGATAGTGTTGGTAGAGGTCAAGCCYTTAACTTAAGCAGAGCCTTATGGAGCTATTAGAGGTGCTGGGAGGAGAAGGAATCTTGCCTTAAGCAGCAGTAAGTGAATTACAAGAACACCTGGTTATCTCTCGAGCTCTCTAGAGGTTGTGTATGTACATTGCATGACACTTGCTTTCTTTTTACAGTTCTATTCACTTCTTAAGGCAGCATTAAGCAGTTCTTTTGGAGGAAAAAAAATTCTTTTCCCTGGTGCTACTGTTTTGGTAAAACAGAACTATTTTCTAATAGAAAATGGAATAGGAAGTGTTAACCTAAAACTTTTGCCCTTGTTTTTGTCTAGGAATGTGTAGTTGCAAGCTGTTAAGCTCTGTTTTTGAGTGTCTCTAAATTACTCTTAGTGGTTCTGTGTGTAGAGATTCTGCTGAAATACATAATAACTGTGATCTTGGAAATTAAGACTTCGTTACTTTAATTGCTTTTTTAATTGGTCAGTCTTTAATTGGTTTTATGCATTTAATGATACAAAGCAAAATACTTTAGGTAGCTGAGAAAGAAAATGTGGAGCCAATACAGAAAAAGGTACTGTGATGTAAAATGTACCCTTCTAATACATTGCCTTAGTGTTTTGTACAAGCTTGTAGTATATATTTTTAATCTATATTTTTAGAAATCAGGGCGGTAGGCCTGACTTCTGTGCATAAACTAATAAGAACAGACACTTCTGATAAAGAACTGGGATGTTATATAGTTTCCATGGTCTTAAGACTTCTGGAAGAGGAACGTATGTGTGGTAGAAGAGAAAAAAAATTTCCTTTGGTTGCTGTAGTGGAGTTCCTCAATTGTGAATTTCACATTGCTAATTCTGAAAGAATAGTCAGTATTTTCCTTTTCTTTGTCTAGAAGTAAAATTACATTTAACAGGTCAAATTCTAAGCTCAGCTGCTGGTGCACATTGCCTGCTAATATCTGAGTTGTCTAATAAYGCCCTGGAAGTGAATTAAGTTTGTGTTGGGTACCTTCCCCTCTGCAAGAGCAGCTCCATTTGGACTGCATGCAGGCAATGTTGGAGGCACACTGCTCTATTAAAGAGTTTGCTCTTTTCTGTTGTCTTGATTTCCTTTTGTTTGGAAGGAGTTAATCTCCAAATGTGCATTTGTATCGTAAATATGAGAAGAAATAGATGTATTTCAATATCTCAAGGAAGAAAAAAAAATATCTACAAAATGTCTGATATTTACGTTGGCATTTTGATCAAAAACTAAGTGACATATGTTTGAGTAGAGCTTAAAAACTTTGGTGGTTTATAAGGCAGATTTTAGCTATCTTTTTTGGCTTGCACTTATGCTGCATGCACTGGAGCTGGGTTATTCATCTGGTAATCCCTGGGCCAAACCTGCACTGTCTCATGAGCTTGGTGAGGGGAGAGATGTGCCAGCATCTTCATCTGTCTTCAGGACTTCATCTGTCAGCTGGAGCTTACAGCAGTGTTAGCTCAAAAGCGAAGCTTCAGATCAAGCTGAGCTGGCCAGGTCACTTCTATAATTTTGCTTTGCATCTGCTTTGCCAACACTACTGGCCTGAGAGCCAGCACCTTGCAGGCTGTTGCTGTCTTCCTAATTGAGGAGTGATCAGGCTCTAATGTCCAAACCTGCATTTGACCATGGTGTTGCATCTGAATTTCTCTTGGAGCTGGACTGAGAAGTGTCATTAGTGTTTTCAGCTGCTGCTGCCAAGCAGCTCTGGCTCACTTTCCACGAGGTGGCACTTGGAGTATCACAGTGGGACTTGTGTTAAATCCTGGCTTAAAGCACACAATATTATTGGGGTCACACTTCTAATGTTTATAATATTCTTTGATTTCTGCTGTTTTAAGTGAAGACTAGCATCAGAACTGCTGCCCCCTTTGCTAAACACAGACCCCTGCTTTTTAGTGCAGTTGCATCAGCAGTCTTATCCAAACTATCCTGCTTCACCTTAATGTTTGCTAAGTTTGTTTTCCATGGGCATTTCCACCTAGATGTGGTTAACTCGGGCCTTTTTCTACTTGTGGAGCTGTGTGAGATCACAGTGTTGTGGCTGCAGGCCACTTAATACAGCAATCTGGCCAGATTCTTGTAGTGTCTCAGCTGGTGTTCCCAGGGATCATGCTCAATTTGGAGACAGGATAATGGAATAGCCACAGGAAACGAGGCAGTGCCTTTATGAAGAGCAACAAATCTTTGTGATTCAATAGAAGTGTAACTCTATACAACTTAAAACCCTCGGAAGAAACCATGAGAATGAATTACAGGATATGTTTGGTTTCCACTTTGGTGTTCATATAGCAAAGGCTGGGTTTTTCAGATTAGTCAGAGCTATAAAGTGTTTATGTATTTGGAAAAGATGACCTCTGTTTGGTACAAATCGGATGTTAATCATTATAGGTCTATGGGTATGATCCATTTAACTTTTGTACTGTGTTTTGAAGCTATCAAATGGATTGCAGATGAATTGTTGTAATCAGTGCACAAATAGGAATTGAAAAGTATTCCTTGCTCRTGCAATATAACTACAATCAGGAGATAGGAAGCTCAAGTGACTTACCACATGTGAGTAAGTTCTTCAGGGATTGTACTAGAAAGTATTGCTTTTTGAGTAGCTGTATCTGAGTTTAACACTTAACATCTGGATGTAGCTGAGACTGCTCAGAGACATGGCCTAGAAGTAAAGCTCCTCTCACTGTAAACTGACTACAGTACCACCATAGTTTACTAAATACAATGTTTTAGGAGTGCTGAGCAGTATATATAGGGGATCCAGGGAGCCAAAGCAAGCTGTGTAATGGARTTTATCTGATAAGGATGAAGGGTTTTTTTCACTCTCTTCTGGGACTGATAACTTACTGTTGATCTTCCTGGAGATGCAGRAATTGGGAAGAAATGTTGCTGAACAGACCATTTCTGGTCCTTTTTGAGTTAATAGTTCATGCTTTTAGGAAGCTGAATGCTTAGGAAAAGTAACAGGATTCTAGTTTCTCAGGGAGCAAGCCTTGACCTTTTACTAGGGTCTCACGGGAGCTTGCTCACCTTGAGTATTTTCTTTTAGCTGAACTATCTTACCTGGATACTTCTAAGGACGTGGTACAAAGTGARGAGAAGGGGATCCTGAGCCTGTGCATGCTGTTGTATTTACTGACTTCAGKTCCTCTTGCAACTGAGCTCCATATGTGAGTCTTGAACAGGTTCTTCTGCCAACTGAGTAGCAGGAAATAGCTTGTACCTGCTCACCTATGGCAAGGAGGCATCCAGCCACCCTTTCCCTATTTGATCAGTGTACAGGAAATGCAAATCAAATTTGATTTTTAATATACAGTGAATTTTTCTGAGATTTTTTTGAGATTCAAGAACAGCCTGTGGGAGGTTGTTGAACTAAAGGTGAGTGATGTGAACCTGCTGACACCCTGAGCGTGTGAGTCAGGAAGGAGGAGCCCRGAAGGCAAGTGCTGGCAGGGGCTGAGGTCAGCAAGTTGCCTTTGTCAGCACAAGAAAGTGGGAGTGACTGAAAACCTCAAGCCAGAAGTCACAAATGTTACCTGTAAGTCTTGACCTGGCACTTTGAGAGTGTCTGTCCATCTTAAGGGGCTAAAAATGGGAAGGGGCAAGACTGTAGAATTGCTGCCAGCAGCAATTAGGAGGTTGAAAGAGCAGCTGAAAGGGCTTTGAGAGTGAGGAAGGTGCTTCTGAACTCTTGGTTTCACATAAAGGGAAGCCTCAGGCATGCCCTGCAACAGACTTGTGTTCAGGTTGAGTTTARATTGTGTAGGTTACTGCTGAGCCAAGGGAAGAAAGGACTTGTTGGTGTGACAAAGTGGCTGCAACAATAAATCCAACTGGTTAGTGGTGGGATTTCTCCTACACAGCCTTTCCTTTGGGAGCAGGATGGAAGGAGGGTGGTCCAGCTCAAAGCTCTGTAAGATGTTAATAATCTTATTTTTTTCTACGCTGTAGAAGGAAGCACATGTGTTTTCTAAGTAGGTATAGAGGCCTGTCAGAGCAGTCTGATCTTTGTGCTTCTTCGTCAGCTCTCTCCTTAAGGCTTTGAGATTACGACCTTTGTGTTCTATGAAAAACATTGTACCTCTTTCTGCATTACAAAAACATCATTATACATCAGTTATGTAGAAATGCTGTTCCCAATGCCTTTGAAATTTAATGGCAGACTTTCCTTTGCTTCAACAGGCCTTTTCCATTTAATGTGGTGTGATTTGGATCAAATGCCTTTCAAAAACAAACACAGAGGATGCTCCAAAAGTGAGTTTTCTGGAATGCTGACAGGCTCCTTTTCCCACCCACAGCCTTATTCCTGCTGCTGGTTCAGCCAAGGAGACTGAAGGAATAATTAACATATACGAGCTGCATTTACAAGCTGGAAAATGTGTGTGCTTTACCTTCTAAACAGCCTGATGCCTTGCTGAACATGAAGCAGAATCAAAGTGGAGGAGGAAAGCCCTAATCTCCATGGAAAACATATTTGTGGAAGCAAGGGAATAGCTGGCAAAGGTTGTATGTAATCATTATATAGTACAACTTTGAGAATATCACAGCTACTGGACTGCCTTTTCATCCTTCTCTGATGCTTAACTTGGCCAGGAAAAAAGCCTTTCATGCTTTTTGATACTAGATGATTATAAGGAGATACTCTAAACTTGAAATTCAAGCTTCTCTTCATGTGTTGCTGAGGCACTTTCCACATTTTGGATCTCTCAGATGACTTTGTAGGGGTTTAAATAAGTGAAACAGCTGTGTGTTTGCTTTTAAGTTAAATGGATGTGAAGGAGCTGCTGTCTTCCCATTGAGTCATTTTCTCAGTAGGCAAGGCAGCTCTGGAGACATGTGCTAGCGCTATTCAACTTGTAGAGTAATTCCCCATTTTTTAAAGCAACTGTGTGGCGAGCCTGTATAGTAGGATATGTAAATGTGACACCTTTCCCTGAAGCTGCTGTTGCAAATAAGCTCCCTCCAAGGAGCTGGTGGACCTAATCAGCTGGAGTTGCATTTACTTCCCTTGAGGCCTCTTGCTCTTCATCTACCAGCTGTAATTAGAGAGCCAACCTTGTGCTGAGCATGTTACTAAGCTGCAACCTGCATCTCAGCAGCTTGCAGCGGAATCTCTGCTCCAGTAAATATGCTACTATTATTCCCAAAGTGGTATTGGGCAATTAATTTCCAAAGCCTTTGGCAGAACACTTAAAGAATTGGATTTGATATTAAGCAGAAGAGATTTGGCATGAAGTTTTGTCTGATTCAGTTCTCATTTCCCAGCAGTTCTCATTTCCCAGTTCTCATTTCCAAATGTGGTCTTTCTACTTAGTGACATGTTGCTTATGATGAGCTTATACCTGCACCAAGGCAAGAAGCCCCTTGCAAGTTTTRGGAATGTATCATGCTTCTTGGCTGAAGAAAAGAGGGAAAACAGAAAACAAATAGTGGTAAATTCCAGGAAGGATTTGGGGGATGGGGGAAGCCCTCACTTGGAGACACTTTGCTGGCAATGAGTCATCTGAAATGCACAACAAACTAGGTAGTAAAGTTGCCATCCCCTCCCCACTAAATTTAGTTAATTATTATTTCCAGCAGATTAGGAGCAGTGGAGGAGGGATGGATGTTTAACGAGATGACCTTCCAAAGTTCATGGCAGTTCTTTCTCAATAARGGCTAAAGATAAGATCAGAATGTGGGGGACAAACATGCCTCCAGAATAAGTGTACAAATAGTTTAAAAACAGACAACAAATTTCAGCAAACTTACTAACTTGGCTTAGCTTGCTGTGTTTTAGGAGATAAATATAGAGAAGTTTTGGTAGAGGCTACCTTAGTATTGCCACATCCTGTGTGAAACTAAAAAAATAAGTTATCTCCAAAGATGCAGGAGCTGAAGTCATTGATTGCTCCTATATGGGCCTGTTATGGAGAGATCATGGAGCTGTCTGGGAAGGATGAACYGCACAAGTCTGGTCAGTCCTGGTGATGATGTTCTGCTTGAAGACCTGCTTAAAGCAAAACATGCCTGAGAAGCACTGGGTGTGTCACRGGATGCTGCATGGCTGAGGAGGCTGCAGAGGCATCCTGGAGGGTCTTAAAAATCAAAGAAAAAGGACTGTAGATGTGCATTTCTCTGGTGGATTATATTGTACAACTAAAAGTAAGCAAATAAGCATGAGTAGTCAGACTAGTCTGTTTTAGAAGCCTTTTCATGAGCTGTGTATGTGAGCAGGCACATGTATGGCAGTGTTCTCTTAGCACAACCAGCCTGGGTAACCTGGTGCTGACATGCAGGCCAGGCCATCTGCATCCCCTCCCTAGCTCTGTTGTGACARTCACCCAGCAACTCAGGTAATCCTGTTTATTCTGTGTCCCTAAATGATTGAAAGTGTTCCTTTGACAGCCACCCACACCTGTGGGATCCTTCTCTCACAAAGGCACACACCATCCTAAGGCTTCAACATTTCCTTGTGTTGTGAAACTCCTTCTGTTTTCTTTGAGGTTTTCTAGTGCATTTATTCATTTGTGTGTTATATACTTATGTGATTGGACTTGGTGTTTTCTATTGTAGTTCTACATGCCTGAGATGAACTGTGCAATCTGAGTGCACTCTCTGGACAGCACTTAGTAGTGACACTTGATTGATGTTCTAAGGCTGGCATCAGTACCATGAGCAGAACAAGCTTGCCTTTTCCCAAAGGGCAGAAAAGGGAGAAAAACAGAAAGCATTTGGTTTGAATGCCTTCTACTATCAAGGTATGGAAAACTCCTGGAGCTAAGTGGTCCTCATAGTCCTGTAGCAATATTTTCTGGGAAGTTAAAGAAGTTTTATATGGTGATTTTTTTAATAACGTTGGTGAAAAAGTTTGTAACCTCAAAGAATGAGTTGTCTTGATTCTCTAGACACATGTAGCTTGGATGACTGTTAAAACTGTTCTTGTCTCRTCCTTTAAGATCCCTGACCACTGTAGCACTTGACCTGAAGTGTGTAACTGATTCAGCAATGAATATAAGTATTTGCTTAGTCTTAAGTATTGCAGCAAGCCCTTTCCTCAGCAGAAGTACTTGCCCTTTTTTAGGGTTAGCATGTGATCAAGTGCTTATGTGAGAACAAATATGCTTAAATGAAAATCAAAATCTGTAAAATGGAAAAGAAATCAAGATAACTTTTCAAGATGRTTAGTGATAATTATTGTTATCCTGTTCTTGAATGAACTTGAATGAATTTTTTTCTAGTTTCCCAGAGCAGTCATGATGGTAACTGCAGTTCCTGCTCAGAAGCCAAACTGAGCAATTAGTGTTAGATGTCCTCATGTTTCTGGTACCACTTTTGGTGAGCAAAGTGAGGGGCAAAACATGCGGGAACATGTGTCCAGAAATTGCTCTTTGCTCTATAGAGACTGAATGGTTTTCTAATACGAATAAAAAGCCTCTGATGAAAYAAAGTCTCAGCTGCTGTTGAGATGCCTTCTGCAGTGGCTGTCAGGCTGCTAGTGTAATTCTGCACAGGGAGCTAGATTCCTAAAAGCCACAGAGTGCTCGTGGCAGGAAATGTGACTTGATTTTACAAGGCACTGACTCCAAAGTGCACTGTCATGCTGGATACCAGGCAGACATTGAGGAATTACAGCCTCTCATTTAGAGTTTACTGTATATCTGTGTCTGTATATCTGACTTTTCTTCTGTGTTCACAAGTTGGAAAGCTTTTAATAAAGCTTGGTGTGTCCTCCAGAGGTGAGAAAAGCACTGGGAAAAGCTGCAGGCAGGTAAGAAAAGTGAGATAGACCACAATGGGGGTTAGGGTAAGAGACAGTGGATGGAGAGCGATGATGTGCCTGGTCAGTGAGTTAGTGCTGGGATCATCTGTCTGAAATGGGGAAGCAAAACTCAAAGGTCATCAGTGTGTGTTGTTGTGGCAAAAGGGGATTTCACATTGCAATGTGGGCAGCAGGCAAGTGGAAGCTTTGGCTGATAAGCTCAGCATCTTGGACTGTTTCCTCTTTATACAGGGATAGGGGATATATGGAAGTTGTCTGTGCTACTTGGCTGCTGCTTAATATCCTTTTCCTCCCTTGCAGATCAGCTCAGCCTTCAGTACACTCATGGGCATGGGCTTTGTGTCTCAAGTATGCAGAAATAACAGCCACTCCTGAGGCAAACCCAGCAGTGACCTTGCATAAGCTCCTCTTCGTGTGTGCTTTTTTCCAGGTGAGAAAATAAGAGCAGATCAAGATCAGGCCAGCAGATAGCAAAGCACTCACATGGTGCTCTATGATGCTTACCTAAGGCTGCCTCCCTGCTGAGGTATAAGGTGAGAATGTTTCCTGCCACACACTCGCCCTCCCGTTGTTTGGTTGAGGGTTTTTTTATGTATAATAATTCTGTGCAGTCTCCAAAGCTTTCCACTGTGCTCTTATCAGTTAGCTGGGTGACTGCATTGGTTTGAGCCAACTGTGCCTTGCTTCAGCACTGTTATATTTGTTCACACTTTTGCACAGTTTGTGTTGTCACTCTCTGGCATGAGTCCCAGCCAAGATAAGCAGTCAGAGCAGGAACTAGCTTGAACTTGATCTAAGGTTGTGATGAATAGTTCTGTGAAAGGATCGGCTTGGTGCTCACTGCTRGTAAGGCAAATCAAGTGCTGCTTGAGCACGAATTGCTGGGGAAGGCTGCTGCCTGAGCCTGTGGGTCAGCCGTGCTTAAAGCACTGGGTGATAAAGCACGGGACTGTTTCTGTCCTGTTAGGATATAAAAGACTTGGAAAAGATGTAGGGGAGAGAAATCAGGCTTGTAAAAGATAAAGAATATATAGAGAATATATAGAATATAATGGGAACAAGTCAGAACACTGAGGAGTATAACCAAAGTCTGTAAATGAGTGGGGTAGAGAGTTGTGTGCTCTGTCATCCAAAACAAGGACTAGGGACAACCATGAAATTACTAGGATCACATCAAAGCAAAAGGAAAGTCCTTTCAGCTGTGAAAGGTGAAAAGGTGAAGTGTGTCCCCCACACACTTGTTCTTTCTCTTCTGTGGCTGTTTGCTAACAAACCTGGTGGTCAGGACACCAGGCAGACCCTGGCAATCAGACTGGTCAGATTTATGGTTGTGTGTCTACAGGCAGAGCAGGTACAGGGAGCCCCAGCTGCCTCATGCAGCAACTCCAGCAYGTGTCCAAGCACAACTAACCAAGCAGAGAGGCCAAAACCTCCCCACTACAACACAGTGATTATGACCTGCAGTTTTTGCTGGCAGTGGCCTTGAGGGCTGGGGTGCAAGAGAAGACTTTAGATAAGCCATTGATCAGAGTGCTTTGGAAACTGGTATCAGAAATAGTCTGGGCTTTTGGTCACCACTGTTCTGCCCTGCTGAGCACGTGTCAGCCTGGACCGATGGACAGAGTCACTTCGGTGCCACAGCYCAGCCATGTGTCTTCAACCTTGAAGTGAAGGGTCACTTGCTCTTCCTGGCCTCAAGCTCTTTGGAAGAGCTTTTGCTTATGAGTCAAACTTAGCATTTTCACAACAGGGACAAATATTGACCAGTGAACCACAAACGGCTCTTCCTTGTCATCTAAGCTTGGGATAGCTTYTCTGCAAAGCAGTGGGAAAATCAAGGCATGGATCTGGTCTGAACTGCCAAAAAAATGAGTGGGTCGTAAATAAGCAAGGTATTTCTCTGCATGGGATTGTTTTTGGCCCAATATTAATCTTTAGTCTCCCCTCTATAGTTTAGAAATAGCTAAAGAGCTGCTAGGTAGAAAAAATGAAAGTACACTTAAARGGAAAACAATGACATTCCAGCAAAAAATAATAGAAATGAACAGTAAGTTTTTAGTAAGATAGCTGGGGGAAGCAAAGCAGGCTCATTTTGGTGAAATATTTCCCCCGAATCAACTTAAGATATTTTGCACAACAAACTCTGTTTTTTTAGTGTAATTGTCATCTTTGCTATTGAACCAAATCCTCAGGGATTTTATCTTATTGTGTGAGATGGTTAAATAGATGCACTGAAAGGTGATTCTCCATACAGCAGCATCTCGCTTGACTTCCCATTGACCTTGTCTGTGGTCTTGGACTGCATGTGGAGAAATAGATGASTTGGTCAGTAAAATGAAGAGTAGCACAAATTGCTTTAGGTATTTGTAAAATAGATGCTTTTTGGGAATTTTACTGAACAGTTTTGTTCTTGTGCAGAAATCCCACCTCTTTTCTGTAAATCCACTGGGCTAATTCTCATCAGAGTTCATAGGGATTAGTTTGCGTGCTTCAAAATCATAAAAATAACCCCAGAATATGCCTGTATTTCAAAATAAGGCTTGCTATTTTATGACATGGCAGCACCTTTCATGTTGCCGCTTCCTTAAACCAGGCTTGAAATGGAGCTGTCAGATGAGAAACCTTGACCTATGAAATATTTCTGTTATACTTTAATGTATTACTGTTATGCTGTGACTAAGTGATAAGATTCTCCTTGGAAAGATACTGATTTATGCATTTTTATTCTAAACTGTCCCAATGAACTTGAAGTTTCTTGACAGTGAGAAATGCAGCTAGAGTGAGAAGGAATTTGGAGCCAAAGAAGTGCATTAAGTTGACTACATTGCTTTTCCTGASCTGTTGGTGTTCAGCCAAAGCTCTCTTTGGAGGAAGGGGTTTTACAGGTGAAATCTTAGAATTTTCCAGAGACTTTAAAGAGTTACAGAAGAAAGAAAATGCTGCAGGTCAGGAACATYAAACTAGTGAACTGGATCTGACCAGCACCTACCTCTGATAACTGGTATCAGCTGCCTCAGAGGAGGATGAAAATCACCCCTGAGGGGGTAGGCAGTTGGGGGATGACTCCAACAGCCCTTTTTAAATCTCCCACAGCTAAAGACTATTGTGCTGTGCTGTAGAAATGATAATTTTGATTTCAGTAATCTATCATATTGGCTATATCAACTCTAGGTGCCCTAGGCTGTGTATATTTCTGGGCCTTTCAGGAATGCTACTAAATCCTTAATCTTGATAAAGTGAAGTAAGGAAATTTCTTAACACTTTAAGACAAGGTTAAAGCTGCAAGAATAGTTTAAGCTGTGTCAAGGAAAGGAATACAGGAAACTGCTAAGACTTTTTGCAGACTCTTTTGTTCATGAACTTCTGTGGCACTGAATTAAGCAAACTCCATTTATGACATGCTCCTCTTAGAGGTTTGAATTACCCAGTCTTATTTGAAAGTCCTTTTTTTTGCCTTGAGATAAAACAGAAAAGATTCCCGGTACCCACAGTTAAGCTGTACTTCCTTCCTGCAGGGTAATTTTATTTTGGTTGTTTCAGTCAGGAAACCATAAGAGTTTGATTTAGGGGTTAGGTTCTGTATTGGGGCCAGCAGGTCATTATGTGATACTGCAGTTAGATCTGGGAACTTAGTAGCTTACTATGCAACTTATGTGCCAGATATTGTRAATATAACTTACCCAATTGCTCTGTAGAGAAAACATAACACTTGACTATAGGACAGTAGAAAATAAAAGCTGTTCTCACAGGTTTTGCTACCCTGAACTCCTGTAAAGACTTAAATATATTGATGTTAAGATAAGCAGAAAATTCTCCGCCAGCTTGATTTGAGGTTTAATCTTTGACTAGGTCAGGGCAGCGGCTTGTTTGAARTGCGAGTGCCTGTGTTTGCTCTTTCCCCTGACCCCGGGGACGCCGAGATCGCGGCAGTGCGGGCGCGGGCCACGTGAGCGGAGCTTGCYGCCCCGTGCTGCGCTTTGAGGGCAGGAACCTGCGTGGTCCTCCCGCAYTGCGAGTGTGACTGCACGTGGCCACGCTCCCTTGGTCCCTAGGGCAGCTCCTCTCGGCATCCCATCYCTTCCCAAAAGGGAGAAGATGTGCAGGGAAGGGCTAAGGATGGGGGGTTTCACTCTGATCTGAGGACACCAGGGCCAGCCTGGGCTGTGCCTGCCCTCTGGACTCATTCTCTAGTTTGTAAATTTGGGGCAACTTCAATTTTGCAAGTTTAGTGGCATGCTGCTGTTTTGCAGCACAGTGGGCTGCTTGGTACATGCTAAGAACATCTTTCTCAGGATGCTTTTGCACTCGGAAGACTTTTGCAGAGTAGCTGGAGCTCTGCAAATGTGCTCTCCCTTACTGCACCTTAATGGGCCTGGGGAGAGATGTGCGACATCTCACAAGAAGCTGTTCTTAGTGTGTTATGGAGCACCTCTAGTAGCCACAGATAAGGGCACATGAACRCAGACAGAGCCTTATGCAGTGTACAACAGATGTGGCTTAACAGAATTATCAGTGCTGCCCTCCCAAAGCCTTTTTTCTTTTTCCCTTTTTTCAGATGTTTTCAAGAAGCTGTGGTAGAAGTGGTTGATGCCTCTGGACAATTGAAGACCAGGAAATTAAAAGCAAAAGTCTGAGACCAAAGCMAGGAAGACCTCCCTCTGAGAACAGCAAGGGAGGAGATGGCTGCAAGGTGATGAGCTGAGGGTGCAGTTTTGCTTTTCCCCTTCTTCCTCAAACAGCTTGCAGAGGCACTAGGACAAAAACATGTCATTATTTATCTGACTGGGAGGTCAGTGTCATTTTGAATAACAAATGGGTGGAGTGAATCTTTCTCTCCTCTTGGAACCAACTGCCTAAATACTGCAAAGAGAAGTATGGACATTGGACAGATATGGCTTTGGCAGGTCACAGGAAAAGAGGACACAAGCTCAGGGCCATTTTCTTCCTAAAAGGAAGCCATGTGAATGCAGAAACACATGCAGGAAGTTAAGTGTAACTTGYAGCAAGAGCTGGGTCTCACTTGCAGAGTTTCCTGAGCTGCTGTTCCTGTCAAGCCTGGTAACTCCATGGGCTTCCCTCTAGCCCCTTTAGCTCATTCATTTAACACAGCAGGTCATGTACTTGAGGCAGCTGCTGRCACAGGTGATGTTGCTGTAGCTTTTGTGCTACAGAGGGTGCCAGAACATGCATGGGGAGCATATTTGAATTTGTTTTGTTGAAGAATGCGTTAATGATGCTAAATGAGAGCTCTGTTTAGTCAAAGTGAGTTTCCAGCACTAATATCAAACCATTATTTTCATTAAACAAATAGGTGTCAATTTTGAGTAGGTAAGTTAACTTCATAAATAAACTTCATAAACTTTCATAAACTTCATAAACTTTCCTGTGAGAAAATGAGGGGATACTTTTGGCTGCAGTGCTCTGAAGCTGAATTTCATGTACTGCAGGTATTGTATGGGATCAGAGTATTTGGTCAGGTCTTCTAAGTGCTTTATCTTGAGGTTTTACATTAGACTACATGATCTGCATTTAAAAAGTTGCCTTAGACACAAAACAGGCAGGATTTTGTTTTTATTTTTCCTGGAATCGAATGAAACACTGAAGCATCAAAGCACTACTTTGGCCCACAGATGATTGTGTTGGGAGTGTTCTTCTAATTATTAGAAAACAACAGAGCATGAAGTTCTAATGTGTGAAACAATGTAACATGCCATGATAATTTGGCACGTTGATAACACACAGTAAGCCTGGCTAGAGGGAAGGGTGGATGCTAGAGGTGCTATAATACGTGTCCTCTTGCAAGTTGTCAACAGCAGAGGTAGCAACAACGACTTCTGACAGCAGAAATCTGGTTTCTGAAGTTTTTCCACATCAGATGACAGCAAAATCAGGACTGCCTTGACAGGCTTCATGAATAGGACTTGGGTGGTATAACTTCCCAGTGACCTGAGATGTCAAGTCATCTGATAACAAGGAGATTTCTTGCATTGTGGGGTAATTTAGGTGCAAAGTGTTCCTCCTTAACAGTGCCTGGGCTCTTGCTGGCAGTGTTACTTTGGGAAAACATAACATTTTCTTGTTTGAATTCCAAAATGTAGGTCATAGCTGGCCACAAGGGAAACAAATTGACCTTGGCAGCGAATGAACTTGGACTGTCAATATTGTGAACTGCAGGGCATGACTTGAAGGTGAAATGAATGATTACCAGCAAAGTCCATCTCTTTATTCCTGTGGCCAAAACTGTCTCGAGTTGCATGAGTCCACATTGCACTGTGTTGAATTATCCCCCCACACTGATAAGGAGATTTGGCAAGCAACCACTGCATAGTGTACAAGGGTTATGCACAGCATAGCAACTATAGCCCTCCACCTTCATGCCCTATATTTCTCCCAGTGCAGATGATGGTAGAAGTGCTGCTTTGCCTTGTCCAAATGTGCCTCTCAGTCGTGGGTCCTCCTTATTTCATAAAGATCTGTCCTGAGAAAGAAAAGCTCTTTGGGGGCTGCTGTGTAAATGTTATATTGATTTTTGCTAGATCCACTTTGTGTTGTCCTGCTAATTTGAATGACTATCTTTCTGGATATTGTCCATCAGAGGCAAAGTTTTACTGTTACTTTATTTTTTTAAAGGAAAAATAAAGAACTAAAGAGAAACCTTTCTAAGTTTTCAGCTTTGATAGCTTCCTTTAGTCTTTTGCTTGTGTCCTATCATTGAGAATTTAGTGCATGCCTCAGATCCCAATTGGAGTATACTGCAATACACCTCAATGAGTGTTAAAACTAGTGGCTTGGTAGAGGTGTGTTTGTTTGGTTTTTGGGRGAAAAAATCTGAAGCTCTTCAAAGCACCTTAAATTTGTTGTGCAAAAAATGCCTTTATCCCTTTGTAGCAAAGAGGAGTTGAGCTGGTTACAGGCATCCTTGCAGAAAGCTTTGAATAGAGATAGTGCAAAAGCCTAYAGAAATCGAAGTAGAAATCTTCTTAAGCCCTCATTGATATGAATGTTGCTACTTTCAAGAAGTCAGGAGGAAAAGGTCATGCCAATTTGTAGGTGAGAAAGCTGACTGCCAGGCCAGATGGGGATTATGCAATTCCTTCCTCTCCTGGAAGGTTGGAGCAGAGAGAGAAAGCGTGCTGGGCTCAGTTCTTCCTTTCCAGACAAGGCGCACAAGGCAAAGCCCAGAGCAAAGTTAAGATATACCCATGTGGTGTGTATGTTTAGAGATTAATAACAAGCCCCCAAATTGCTAGATTCGGTAGTCCTGTTGTGCAAGCAAACAAGGGAYGCTGGTATTGTCATATTTTAACATCTTAATTTTTACTACCTACAAAAAAAGGTAGAACTTGCAGTTTGGACCTTATTTGCAGAGAGGTAATACTAATAATATCTCCCTGTTTTGTACATAGAGGATAATTGTATTTCTGCAGATGTGATGCACAAAGTATGCTGGATTTTATTGCCAAATCATCATATGGTTTCCTAGTGTGTCTATGCCCAAGCAAGTGTTGAATTGAACATTTTTCTTCAATATTTGACATGTGCTCCTGCAAGATAGACTTTGAAAAAGACCTAGTAACAGGGTGCCCTYAAATCCCTTAACTAAACAAATGTATATTTTCTCTGGAAGTTGAATTTGTCTGGAGTGCCAGTGATCACATCTGCTACCTGATAATAGGTATGTATTTGGATAAGGYGTATAAAAGTCTTGCTTCTTTTGAAGATTTGGGATGACTGTGAATGTTCCAAGTACTCCCTGCCTTGGATAAACTCCCAGGCAACTTGGGAGACCTAAAAATATACTCAGTCTGACTGAGTACTTCCAACAGGGACACTGTTGGTTGAAGCTGTAAATTAAAATGGCTTTGTATTTATTAGACCATCTCAATCTTGCAGAATTAAAATAGATTGGGCAGACTGCTGCTGTCTTGAGAGGACRGAATTCCTTCTCATGGGCTGTTTTCATCTTTGATATCAGTTTGTTCAAAGCATGTGTGTTAATATTAGTATTAGCAGCCCTCCTGGCTCCCTGGAAATGTTACCTCCAAAATAAATGGCCTCAGAGATAAAGGTTTGCAGCATTTTGCTTAAACTGAACTGCCTACTTTGGCTGGAAATTTAGTACATTTAAAAATGTTTTAATTTTAGAAAACTTCATGGAGGTTGTTTAAATTGATTAATAAATTGCTGAATAAATAACTGAATAAAATCCCTTGAGTGGCAATCCTGTTATGCTATAATAAGGCTTAATTGATGAAGCATTTACATTATATGCAACATGTTTGCAAGCCTTTCTCACTGAAGAACAAATACATCAGAATGCTGTATTTTGAGACCTGCTGTAACTATATAAGGACAAATCAAAATATGATCTGAAGGAGGGAAAGTAGCCATGAATTTTATTTCCATTTATGGCCAGAAAACTCAGTATTGAAGCCAATACATGCACATGTACTCTTATTCATATCTGTAGTGTTATCCCTGTTGTGACAGCTTTTCTTAGAAATAGAGGAAAAATCCAGTTCTGCTGCAGGGAGCATTGTATTTTGTGAAGGCTTGGGCTTAATTGGCCTCGAAGGAGCAAGTGGAAAAGAACAGCTCAGTGCTGGGCTTGTGCCATGCACAGGGCCAGGAATCCTGCTTTTGCTCTGGTCCTGCAGTCAGCAGCACGGGGCTGGGGTTACTCTGCATCATTCATTCACAAGCTGGGAAATCTTCCTGCTGACTCATGCTTATAAGTTATTTTCCTGGCTCCACCTCCACTCGYTTCAGCTCCACCTCTCTGCACTTGGAGCCCTTGCCTACTATATTTAAACAGCTGTCTCRGAGCAGAGAGAGGATTCAAAGGTTGAAGTTTTGCGGTTTTCCTGGCTGTGCCGGCGTGTTCAGAGAAACGTTGATTTTTCTCACCAGATCTGCTGCTAAACGAGGTAAGATTCTGCAAGTGAATATAGAGAGCCCTGTGTGGTGTACTAGAAAATGTTGTTTTCTCAGATCACAGGAAGATCTTCTGTTTCTAGAAGGATGTGTCTCTGTTCCACAAAGTTGAGTTGCTCCCGTGTACTTTGTGTGTGGTGTAACTGGGCTCGCATGTAAGATTGTGCCGGTGGGGAAAAGAGCTCCCTAAACTTGTGGGGAAGTATTGAAGCTAACGGGACATCTCTTCCTTAAAGAACCAATGAATTAAATGACCTCTTAAATTGCCACTTCTGAAAYGAATGTGGAGTGAAGAAAGGAAGCTGAAGGAAGCTATTGCATTTCTGTAATTGTTCTTGCTAACCCTGTGTGCCATAAAAGTACTTTCAGGCTTTTTTTCTTCCTTATAGACTCACTACCCTGCTCTTCTGAGCTCTCCCCATGTGCTGTAAAGGCCTTGCTTAGCTGTCCTTACTGGAGCAAAAGTCTCCCTGACGTCGTGGGGAGACCCATTTGCATGTGGCTGCTGTAACTTGTCCTTTCTCTTGCAAAAGACCCTGTAACTCTGCTGCCCCACTGACATTCATTTGCTTTTGTATCTGTTGCTCGCTCCAGAGCGTTTCCAGCAGTGCCAGGGTCGCACTGACCTGCTTCCCATGAGTTACAGGTCCTCTGGGCATGGGGCTGTCGCGGGGAGGTGTGTGGGGTTTGGCCCAGCATGATAAGCCGGCAGCTTTCTCGAGCCAGAACAATTATGTAATGTTTCAGCAGCAGGGAAATAAAGGCTTTGGAAGCGGGGAGGAGAGGGATTCTGGAACTTGCTGCGTGTTCCTGGATGGGAGAGGAGAGAAGCGCCTGTGTGAAGTAGGAAGKGGGAAGCAGGAGCCAGAGCAGTGATGGAGCGCCCTGAGCTGGCTGGATGTGAGCCTGCCTTCCCAAAGGGAAGCGAGGAAGGCACTCCGGTCCTCTCCTCACCTGAGGCTTCTCTTCCCTCATTGCAGTTAATTCATTAACCTCTGTATAGATTGGAAGTAAATGTTGGTGTCTCATGTGCTTTCCAGGAGCCTCTGCAAGGACAAGCGTGGTGAATTAGCTGTAGGGGCTGTTGAGGTAGGGGTGTCTCCTGATTTTTGTGGCTGTCAAAAATCAAGTGAAAAGACCAACTTCTCWTCACAGGAAAAGCAAATGTTTGGCTTAAATTCTACCTGCCTTGATGCTCTGAGCATAGTTTTGCCCACAGCACATCCCACACCTAGGCCACAGGTTAGGAATAGCTCTAAACAGGTTCGGTAGTTGATCATTTTCTGCTGGAAATGCAATTAGTAACTGTAAACCGTGAAGTAGTAGGTCTAGGATGTGGAAGGGGCTTCTCTTGTACACAGAGGCAGGCTGGGATGAGCAGAATCAGCTTCAGTAATAATTCTGTGTTGATAGTATTGCCCAGTGTCAAAACTTTGGGGAGCAAAGAATGTGGCACTAAAATGAGCTTAAAGAGGGTTTGTGAATCCAGAGCTTGGCTAAAAGTGCAGCTTAAAAAGGTCGCATACATACCTGGATCAGGGAATACATGCCAAATTGGCATTTGTTACCCTTGCCTTCAAGGTTTGGCTTTAACTTCAGCAAACACTGCCTTTTCACCTATGAAAAGATAGTGCCTGGAGGTGCAGGGTGAAGTGAGGAGAGGGCATCTCCCTGGGGAGACGCAATGCAGTGCATTGGGTGGCCGTGTAGTGGYCGGGAGCCAAGACAAACTCCCTAGGAAGCAGCTGGGAGTGCACGGCTGATTCCTCCCGTCCAGTGCCTGTTCTTGTCCCTTTGTGGTTCCCCTGCAGAAGCCCTGGCACCGAGCAGCACGATGTTGTGCCCAGGTCTTGCAGCGGGGCTGCTGGGCTCGCTGTTTGTGCCGGGGATGTGCAGCTCCCTTGGAATGGTTGCCATGCGCCGCCCTGGGTTGCTTCAGCAGTCCTGGCTCCCAGCAAAATCCCACGGATGTTGCTGGGTTACCGCGGTCTCCGCAGCCCGCCACGGAGCAGGAACCTGCCCAGGGAGCTCCTCTCATTCTCATACAGTGTTTCCAGAGATAAAAGGTGAGCTCTCTGCAGTGGGAAAAGCTGAGAGCTTGGCTTGGGTAGTACAGCCTTGGGTTRCCATGGAGAAGAAGCCTTTGCTAAGCTTCAAATGTGTGCTGCAATTTAGGCTGCTTTCAGTGACTGTCTTCCTGGGGAGACTGGTGTGCTGTTTCTCTGGTCTCGGGCAGTGCCAGGTGCTGAACTCTTCCAATTGCACTGGTGGACTTTGGTAGAAAATAATGTTGAGGATTAGCTTATGCAACARCTTGCCACACCAGAAGTTTTAGGTGATGTTTGCTCTGCTTCTTGGTGAAACTAGAAAGCATCTGAGTGCAAGGAGTGCTTGCAAGATTCATATGAAAATTCATGATAGCTACATGGCAGTAGTGCTGTTCTACTCAGCATGAGCAAAAGTGAAGCTTTCACTAACAAGTTGCACCGCTTCGGTTAGAGGGTGCCTGGCTGTGCACCCACCTGCTCTGGGTGGACTGAAATACGTGTGTGGAGGAGAGAGATAAGAGCCCTTTCCCCTTTTTTTGCAATATGATTGGGGAATCAACCTTGAGCTTCTAAGAAAAAAAGCGGGCCTGTCCTGAGCGTGCAAGTGTCAAGTGGGGTGTGATCCACGGGTAATATGCTGGGTTACTCAGCCCTGCARGTCATATTTTTTGTCAGGAAAGCCTGTCATTGAAAATTTCTTTATTTTACCAGGTGGACCCCGGGACCTAAATGCTTTCRGACAGGAAGATGTATTCGGGGCTGAACAAACACCCCAATAGGGGTGGGTTTAAGCCGCTTCCTGTGGTCATCATAGGTAAGTTTTCTTTTGCCAGTATCCTTGTGTTCACTAACGCTGCTTTTGCTCTGGACTTGCCATCTTTTTTCTTCTATGTCATCTTAACACTAGAACTGCCCTGGTTGCTGTTCTGCCCCCTTCCCTGATAGGGAGTCTTTATCTAGTGCTGATATGAAGGGAGTGGTGGCAAGAAGGAAAGCAGTTCGACAAGCTAAAGCACATGCCTGTCTTTGCACTAACAAAAATGGTAACGTTTTGGACATCAGCTGGGCCTGATTTTTCCCAATTGGGTGCTTAAAAGGCAAAGTGAAATGAAACCATTTCACTGAGAAAAATCACTAAAGCTGATTAGCTGTTTGTAGTACTTGAATTGGTGTGTGAGCTTTTTTTTTTCCCCTCGTCGTGTGTGGCTTGGGAAGTGATCCAGATGCTCTTGAAGCTTCTAGGAAATTTTTATATATCCCTTAAATGCTCAATAAATCTTTTGATATGTRCAAATCTCCTATACTACTATTTTACTAAACCTATTAACTTCTCTATAAAGCTGTGGCTCGCTATTTTTCACCAGGTTAGATATTAATGCACCAACTGACCCATGTCCCTTGTGAGAGGGAGCTTTGCAATGTGGGGTGATGCTTGGAGCAAGGGTGATGTGGGACCCTTCTGCTCCATGGCTCATACCAGCTGGTTCCTACCTTATCTGTCCAGCCATCCATTGCCCCCGAGTTAGTCCAAAGCTTGTGCAGGACATAAGTCACACTTAACTCTTGCTGATAGGAAGCCTCATGGGGACATGGCAGCCTGTGGGCTGGATTGAGGGTGACTTTCTGCTGCCCAGTTGCACAAGCCTTTTGGCAGATGCTTTGGTAGATCCCAGGTGGAGCGTTGCGAAATTAACTCCAACACTTCGGAATTCCTGAAGTGAAGGAGCAAGCTGAGCCTGTGTTATATTCTCCCATGGCTGCAATGAGGCTTGCTTTTAATTTCTGCTGCTGGCTGGGTTGGGTGGGTAACTCCCCAGCAAGCAGCATGTTCCAAGCACCGACCACCAGCCACCATCCTCACCCAGGGTCAAGCTGACTTCAGCTCCCGCTGCAGAGCTTGGCTGCCCTTAGCACAGCTCCGAGGGAGGTTTGGGCTGTAAAACTTGCTTATCTCAGAAGGCTGAGCAGTGCCCTCTGCTCCAGGGCTGTGGCACGCGGCGCCAGTGCGGCGGCCGTGTCGCCTGGGTCCTGCCCCACGTCGTCACTGCCTGATGTCACTGGGGTTAGTCACTTGCTAGAGAGCAGCAGAGCTCTGGGCCGGAGTGGCTGACAGCTACTTGTGCCGACGCCGTAAAATATTAAACGTGCTGGACAGCAGCCATGTGAAAATTTTCCACGGGCTGCTTGCTGCTCTTTGAGTCACATATATCATGTCTTCGGTCTGGCTGTTGGGTGGTCAGCTGGACAAGTTACCCACCCAGTGGTTTACTCTGGGCTGTAGCCTCAGAGATCATCTTGGCATGGCAGAGACTTYTCTAACTTGCTGCTTGCAGGCTGCTGTAGGTCCACGTCCAAGGTTCTTCAGAGTCACCAGCCAAAGCCTGTATTGCTAGAGAGCCCGTGTTATATAGGATTTCRTGCTGAAAGCATGCAGAGCTGTTCCCTGTTGTCTTTGGTCTTCTCTTCCTCTGGATTTGCTCTGCATCCCATAGCCAATGAACTGCCCTGCACACATGGGATGTGTGTYCCATGGAGATCAGGCTGTTTCAGCAGATTTGAAACTTTTAAACTAACCACAGTTGTCCCCTCCTGGCGAATAAAAGGATAGAAATGGTGGCAGGGAGACATGCAGGGAGAAAATCTGTCTTCAGAAGCAAGAAGTTAGCAATGATTTAATTACTCATCAGGCTAGTGCCAAGCTGCAGGTAAGGTTAACCTCTGGCTTGTTTAAGCCAATGCTTTTTCATCCAATTCTGAGGCACTTATACAGACAGAACTGAGGAGTGGAAGGGGAAAGGTGATAATAAAATTCTTCCCCACTCCATCTAGTAGGGCAGTGGGTGCCATGGCTATAGAATATTTCCTGTGTCTGCATTGCTGTATTATTTGAATTTTCTGTTGTTTTCAAAATATCTTCTCCAAGAGTTGTTCCATCTGCAGAAGTATGAAACCTCCTTTTCCTTCTTTCTTATTTTATTTTTAGGGAATGGACCTTCAGGAATCTGTCTGTCCTATTTGCTGTCAGGCTATGTCCCTTACTTCAAAAGAGATTCTCTTCATCCTCATTCCATTCTGCAGAGGAAACTGGAAGAGGCACCAGATGTGTCCATATTGGACCAGGTTTGTATTAAAAAAAAGCTTAGTGAAGTATAGTGCAGTGTCCCAGGGGTGTGTTATAAATGATAACCTCATTTGGATTTTTGGAATGCGTGGGCAGATCAAACCTTAAACAAAGGACTATTTAGTTGTCCCAATGTCCCTTGTATGCAATTGCCAGCATTGCTGCGGAGATCTGAGATGATTTTCAAGTGCTAGGGCCACGTGCCAACTGTTGAATTTCACAAGACACTAGAAGCACTGTCTGGAGGTACAGAAGTTTCAAGTAGTCTGCATGGCATGACACATCTCCTCTGTCTCCTTATAGGATTTGGAGTACCTGTCTGAAGGGTTGGAAGGACGATCCCACAGCCCAGTGGCTCTTCTCTTTGATACTCTACTGCGTCCGGACACGGACTTCGGCGGAACGGCAGAATCTGTCCTTACTTGGTGGCACGAGGCCAATAGAGCTCTCCCGCACCTGGTCCTTGGCAAAAACCCTCCTGGAGGGGCTTGGCATGTATGTGAATTGCAGTCTCATTGCTTAGATCTGCATGTTGAAAGATAGCCCAAGGTGCTAACCAGAGAGCTCAGGGTGCTCCAAGGAAGAAGGTGGAGGAGGGAAAACTCTTTGAAATCGTCCATGCCAATGGATCAAAAGAAATCACTGACTACATGTCATGTTGCAGTACATTACAYAACAAAGTAGCATTTTTTTCTTATTCTTAAATGGCTTTCAGTTATTTAATGTAGTTATGTTTCTTGTTCCAGTCTATCGAAGGATCGATGATTACCCTGAGCAGAGGAGAGTGGATGGGGCTGCCAGACCTCCCGTTCAAAGACTGGTTGAGGCAAAAGAGAAGGTGAGATATTTATGGTGTGATGGTTTATCTGCAAAGATCTAAAGGTTATTTAGGAACCCGAGTGAAGTTTCATCATTTGATGCAATATGGATCAAAGGATGCATCCTTTGATGCAGTATGGATTGTTTGAGTAACAACTATAATTGTAGGTATTGTGGAATCTCTCAGGTGTTTGAGAGATGTTAGGCACTTGCAATCTGTAAAAGTCCAGGAGAAAAAAAGGGAATACAAGTAAGAAATGTAAGAGGAAGATAAATGAGCTAGTGTGTTCTTGGTGAGCGGATTCATGTTAGAAGAGCTACCCAAGTCTGAAAACCTGCAAAATTATCTGTTACTTCTATAGAATAAGCTTGCTGAAGACTAGAAAAATGGTGRGAGGGGAAATGAGAAATCTCCCCTGTTAGTGCCAGGACACATTTAGTGAAAGATTTGAAGTTCATACTTAACTGCTGCTTGACCTKTGCTTCTAATGTATTACAGAGGCCTGAGAAATGATAGAGCCACAGCAGGAGATATTGCTCAATATTACCAACACTATGTGATGAAGAAAGGGCTGCAGAAGAACTTCAGATGTGGGACTTTTGTGACCTCTGTGAGGAAAGTGACTACAGAGAGTATCTCCAACCACGCACAGAAGGAGGGAAGTGACTCCCTATGGAACCTCACCRAGGAAAATATGGAGGTCTTCAAGGTGGATGGATTTTTCAAAAATGGGGAAGGTGATAAGGAACCCTTCTCCATCTATGCAGAGAATGTGGTCTTAGCTACAGGAACGTATGATAGGCCCACTTGGCTTGGAGTCAAGGGGGAGAACCTTTCTTATGTCCATCACCAGCTCTCTGCCCTGGAGGAAGCAGTGAAGGACGGCAGCATTAGCATCATGTCGGATCCCGTCTTGATTGTGGGTGCTGGTTTGACAGCTGCCGATGCGATTCTCTTCGCCCACTACTGCAACATTCCAGTAATCCATGCTTTTCGGAGAAGAGTCAATGATCCCGGTCTTATTTTTAACCAGCTCCCCAAAACGATGTATCCTGAATACCACAAAGTGCATCAGATGATGAAGGAACAGACTGCTGCTTGTTCTGGGCCCTATGAGTGCTATGTTAGCCTTCCTGAACACCAGGTGCTGTCCTTTGGCAAGGACAAGAAATGCATCCTTCAAGATGGGAATGGCTACCAGAAAGTTTATAAAATTTCCATGGCTCTTGTACTAACGGGCTCAAACCCCAATCTTTCCTTCCTGCCAAATAATGGCATTGACTTGGCAATGGACTGTGACCAACCAGTCAATCCCAAGAGGAACCCCATAGATGTTGASCCATTCACCTATGAATGTGCTCAGGAGAAAGGGCTTTATGCTCTAGGYCCCTTAGCTGGGGACAACTTTGTACGCTTCGTGCAGGGAGGGGCTCTGGCAGTTGCCAGCTCCCTCTTAAAGAAAGCAAATAAAAATCCCCCCTAATGAAAAGCGTCCCCTCCCTCCATGCTAACAATGTCTCAGTGGGTTCCTGCTGTTTTCCTAGAGGAGCAAGACAATGTACACCTCAAATGTGAAGTCCCCACTCCTGGTTTCCATCAAGGTTATACAGGGAATCATCAGGTTAGCRAGTTCCTTGGGCAGATGAAGCCACCAAAGGCACAGAGCAGGCTCCACACAGGGACACCCYGAACCCGAGGGGATTTGGCTCTTTCCCTGCATGGCTGTGCATAAAGGCTGAATCTTGTGCTGCAAAGRTGGAGAGCACGTGACTGCTCCATACTGCACCTCCCAGGCTTCCGAAAATAGAATTGGGGAACAAATGTTGATTATTTCTCGGACAGCAAGCAGGTAATCCTGTGTCTGTCGGTGTCTCTCTGTCCAGTGTTTTGGGATGAAACAAAGTGAGTTGGTTGCACTTGCTCCTGTGGTTCAGCTCTGATCTTATCAGGCAAATTACTGAAAGATGCGGGTAAATTTTTGGCACTTAGAGTGGTACTCTGTGAATAAAAACTGACATAGAAGCACAGTCTAAACCATATTTTCTTACTGATGATATCAGCAACATGCTATTTTTCTATTTCTTGACTTTATTTTTTAGTTCAAGAGTTTGTTTTCTTCTGAAAAGCCTTCGGAAGTGATGGTACTGCCTTACAAACACCCACTTTGCCCTCCTACAGCACTTTGCTTGCTGACTCCTAAAACTGCAGTGCCGCCTTCCCAGCGGCTGCTCTAAAGACAGCAGAATTAGAGGGAGCTGCTGCCTTGTCTTAATTCTGTCCATGATTTGTGTGGGATTTCTGCTGCACAGGTTCTTGCAGGGAAAAACAGTATGTTRTAGTATGAATCCCTTATCTAGTGTGACTTTTCACACTTCTTTTGCTGTTTATGAATTTAAGAKTTGTATTGGCCAAGCACTTTGTTAGGGACTTTCTACTGGGTGGGACTGGTGTCTCGTGGTGCAAACCTCACTCTTGATTGACCTACAGGACTTTCCATACCTCTCAATGGAAAAAAATAAGAATCGTGGTTCATGTTACTCAATAAAACTGTGCTCCCTGTGGTGCACTGAAACTCACTGGCATGACAGGATACTACAGAATGTCTCTGGAAAGTGCGTGGGGACAGTGGCAGTTTGCTGTGACCTTCACTGGTTGTTCAGGGAGCTATGCAAGGAACTTGTTTGCAGTGTTGTATCTCATGGGAATATTTTCATCAGTGACTGTACTTTTATGCAATATTTTTCAATAAAATGTTTTCAGACTTGGTCTCAGCCTGCTTGTGTTTTTCTTTGAGTCTTCAACTAAGAGAAGGTCCAACAAACTTCATGGGTTTCTGGGCTGAACCAGGATGTGGTGTGATGTGTCCCCTGCATCCCACCTCACTTCTCCTTAGGGGCACAACCCTCTAAGACATCTTCCTCCCCTTTATGATGGAGAACCTTTTCGAAGTGCCTGCAAAGTGCCCTTTCTCCTCTGTGAGGCTAAACCATGCTCACAACAAAGCCTTTTTTGCCTMGAGTGTTAGTCCTAGAAGACTTGGTCTTGTTACTGTGTTGTCTTCTGTCTGGAAAAGTGCCAAATYGAGATCTAATCTAGCAGGTGATAGCATCAATTAGATTGGAGGAGGCATTTGAATGCCTGTGGTCTGACTCCATTAAAACCTGGTCAACTTTGAGGTTAGACCAGAGTGCTCAGGGCCTTGTATAGTAAAGCTCAGAACATCTTTGAGAATGGAGATTCCATGGCCTGTTTGGGACCTTGGGTTCAATATTTGGCCAGCTTTTCTGGAGAGAGTTGTGGGTGGTTCTGCTCTTTGAAGTACTAATTGAACCATCCTTATGTGGGTAATGCAGTGCCAGCTTATGTGCCCCTAGGAGAGATGAGCAGGTAGCTGGTGCTCCCCTTGATCTTCTCATGCTCCTCCCAGCTGCTTTCCATGCTGCATATGGAGCTGAGAGCTAAAATGTTCCCTTTAGCTGGAGGAGAGAGGCCTCTGTCCTCTGCCTGAGCTGCCCATCTTCCTGCCTTTCAATAATTTGGTGCCCTCTACAAAATGAGAGGGCCATGAGCTTTGTGGGTTGTGCCAGCCCATCTCGTGGCAGGAGATTACCCTGCTTTAAATATCTTTCTTGCCCTAGAAGGATGAGCAAGTTGTACAGGACTGTTTTTTTGCCACAATTGCCACTTAGAAGACACCCTGTGTCCTACCCTACAGGGACGTTAGAGCAGCAAACCTCACGAGTGGGGATGGTGGTTTACTCATCACCCACTGGAAGTCCTCGCGGCAGGATGGCTCTGTGCTGAGCTGCTGGCGCGGAGCTCTCCGTAACCAGGGAGACAATAGGGATTACTGTTCCAAAACACCGCTTTGCTAGGCCTGGGATGYGTCTGTGCATTATAACCTTGACCTGCAGCATCTGAGAGGCCCTGCAAGGAAAGAATGGGCTCCTGGAAAGCTGCTGTGCGTCATGCTGCTCCTGCCAGAGTGACGCAGCCTCTTCGGGAAGGGCGCCAAGTGTGTTCACCACAGCCTCCATCRCTGGATGTCCGCCCTGGAGGTACATCCGATGGGTTGGTTGGTGATTTCAGGTTGGAGATCACTTTGCTGGCTTGCTCTGTCCTTTTGGTGTCCTCTAGCTGGTGCCTGCAGCACCCGGGGCTGGAGCAGAGCCCTTGGAGAAACAGCAAGCGACTTCCCGACCTGCTCAGTCCAAACAGAGCAGGTTTTTGTGATCAAACCCCTGGTTTCCACAAAGGTGGGACCTTAAGTAAAACCCAGCAGCACCTTCTGGTCAGGTATTCACTCTCAGTCCTTAACAGGGACTTCTCAGCYCCCTTCAGTTTCCTTCCAGCCTGGTAAGCCCCCAGTTTTTGTCTTTTCAGAAGAAGCTCCCAAGACTTATCAGTACTCACCAGGAATGGCTGGAAACTGCTGTAGCCTGAACAGAAGYAAGGACTTAATGTTTACCTATGAGAAACAAGAACGAGCTGTGTATTTTGTGGGGTATTTTTTCTGCTTTTATCASGCTGGTAAGTGCTGGTAGTCAAGGACGGCGTGTCTTAAATAAACGTGCTAGTGGGTGCAGCAGCAGGCACTGGGCAAGCCCAAACTCGGGCACCTCGTAGCGCACAAGTTGCAGSCCGAGCCCTCTGCTTCTGCCGTAGGCTCGGCTTAAGGAGCCAGGGAGCAAGCCCTGAGGGCCACGGCTGCATTAGGCTCCTCCGTTTTGCAGCCAAGAGGCAGAGACAGCAAAACGTCTYGCGGTATTTCTGCCCCTCGCTGCAGGAATGTGCCCTTCTGCTCCGTAACACACACCCGAGCAAATTTTGGCTCAGGGAACCAGGGCCTATTAATACTTTGATTTACAGGAGCCTACTTGGGAGGGGTTAGGGCAGGCAGCTTTCGTGCATTTTGTGCAAGCSAAGCAGAAGGGATCTTGTTTCCTTGCCCAGCTTTTACCGCCTGCGTTCCCTTCTTGGAAGAGCTGCGGGAGGCTCGGCGGGATTTTACAGCTACGCTGCAGCAGGCTGGAAATGGAAAAAAAGGAAGGAGAGGAATCCCGAGTAAGGCAGCGTGTGCTCTGCATCACTGCCAGCCAGGGAAAYGCTGCTGGTCGGGAGGTGAAAGTACTATTTATTTAAGATATTTCTGCTGCAGGTGAATTTCCACAGCTTGGTCGCATGGGAAGCAAAGGGCTGCTGCAAYAACCACGGGATCCACCTTTTCTGCAGACTCCTGCAGCCCCGTTGAAGGAGGTGTTYGGAGGTGAAGGACACTGGTGTTCGGTTACCAGCTCCCTCCCCAGGCAAACAGGGACGGTTTTGCCACCGGTGTCAGAGCAGCACCAGGTCTAGGGGGSATTTTCCTGGTGAAACAGTGGCTGGGGGAGACCTGAGAACATAGTTTGCTCTGAAAGGGGCTGTGGGTGTGCAGGGTTCCTGCTGATGATGAAATGAGCAAGTCTCCACATTTCAGTCAGCCCACGGAGCATTTTGCCGGGAAGACAAAATCTAACCAGAGGATAAGCAAAGCACAGGATGAAATCACGCCTGTAATGGCAAGGGAATAGCGAACTGGCAAACCAGAGGAGCTGTGATTTTGTTTTTATGAGACCACAGAGCAGTTTCTGGCTAAAACATCCGTCCTTTCTGAGAGCTGGCCCAATGCAGCAAGCAGCAAGCACCGCTTGGCATTAATACCCAAGCTTTCCGGGATTACCGTAACTCGCAGGCAACTCTCAAAGGAACACATAATTTTCAAAGCTAATAAACTGACCGAAACATCTTTCAGCTGAAAAAGGCAGGAAATTGGTGTATTAGAAACAAATCCCGTGGCTCTTTTTTGTGGTAATAAGTACACTGCTCAGTTTAAAAGTTAGGGTCCAGTAAAAACAAGGCAACCACGAAGCGGGGTGACCCTGGAGCTCAGGCCTAATGGAGACGGGAGGCCACCGTGGCCCCTGGTGAACCCGGTCAAAAGTGAGACGGGGAAATTGCAGCCACCAGTGGCCCACAGTGAGCGGGGATGAGCACTGGGATGGGCATTGGGACATCGTTGTTTGGCTAAGCCCAGTCCCAAAGGGCAGCCTGCAGCCCACTCAGTGTGCTGGACGGGCTGTCTCTCCAAACTGGCCGTTTCTTGCCTTCATTTGTATTTCCATCTTTAGTTTGCAATTCTTTTGAAAAGTCAGAACAGATAAGAAAAGTCAACAGTGCCACCAGCAATGTTGCCACAGGCTCAGATGTGCCCTCTGAGGGCCGAATAAAAGTTGTGCTTCCCAAACTACAGCCCATCGGTGTAATTAGGGCCTCTGTGGGACTCTAATTAACGCCCTACCCAGCCAGCAGGGATGSCCCAGAGGGGTCTTTGGAAAGAGGCTTTAAAGCCAACAGTGACAATTGCTGTGGGGCAACACGTGGGCTGGTGGCAGCTTAATGTGAAGTGCATCTTTCTGGTTTTCTCCCCTGAAAATGAAGGCCTTTACAAACTCCTTAGGGTTTACGCAGAGGTGGAAATAAGATGTTTGGAAATTTTTCATTAGAAAYGGTGAGAGAAACACGTTCAGCCCCAAGTCCCTGATGCGGCCCAGTGCTCTAAATGCTGCAAAATGCTGGAATTCGGGGGTGAAGCTTTTGGTCCCTCTTCAGCCCAGGCTCCCGCTCAGCACTTTCATATTCAGGGAGCAGGTGCTCTACGTGTTTAAGATAGTTTTTCTCTGCGTAAGCCCGGGAGGAAGGCATGTGACGGGAAGGTACAGCGGATGCAGGGGGATTTCTAGGGAATCGGCACCAATGAGGTAATTTCCGAGGGAAATCAGCAACGGAAAGGCCGCAACCGCGTGAACTTTTGCCGCTTGGCATAGGAAGGTGTTTGGCTTTGGCAAAGGCCGTGGTACCTCCGTAGGTCTGGCGTAAAGAGCAGGACGGGATTATCCCATGATCTGCAGCAGAGCAGYGACTTGTCCACGTGCAGCTTCCCAAAGTCCTGTTGAGAGCTGCATCACGTCGCCCTAAACACCTGTCTCCAGCAAGGCCCCGCTTTGTGGCCAAGATGCTCAACCTGGTGGCGCTGACAGGAACCAGCTGGTGCCGCTGCCAACATAAACATCGTCACGAAGACAGAGGGGCGAGCGCCTGAGAAAGGGATAAAGCTACATAAACAAGCGCTATCTGCCTGACGTAASCCTGAAAACGTCCCGTCTGCAAGCGGGAGGTGACATCAGTGCAGAATCGGGGCACATTTGGCCAAGTTCTCACCCAAAACAAAGGGCCGCGAGGCAGCGGCCCCGTTCCCAGGCCGCCGCTGCCGCGTGACCTGCTTCACGCTCCGCAACCGCCGCATCCCAGAGCGGGAATTGTGCCCCCTTCCCTTGGCCAATGCCACGGACACCCCCCTGCCCGCTTCCCAGCAAGGGCTGGCTCGCGAGGACGGTGCACAGCTTGCTGGAACGGATCCCACTTGGCGTTTGAAGGGTAGGTGGTTTATTYGGTTTTAGGTGAAGAAAATTACAGGGCTTTGGAAGAGAAGAAGGGCTGAAAGAAGAGATCCTTGCTGCGGCGGAGGATGATTATGGTGAATTACCTTTCCCCTTGTCTTCGTGTGAGTAATCCCCAGGCTTTAATGCTCCACTGATTCCTGGTCTCTCCAAGGCTACCCAAGAGCTAACGCACAAAATTTTCCATTCGGAAGTGCTTCCATGTTCCTCTAGAAGTCCC